GCGGCGGCAGCAGCGCTCGAGCTGCGGCCGCTTTTTACCGCGCTCTTTATTTCATTTCTCCCTCCGGCCCTCGGCGCGTGCTCCGTCCCAGCCCCTTCCCGCAGCCCCCTTCCCCGCGCGAGCTCTCCTGCCCCATCTCCCTCCCTTGATGCACTCAGCGCTTCCCATGGAACAACTCTATGGAAAATGCGCCACCCCTCGACAGCTCCGGTAAGAGCTGGAAAGGAAAAAAGACCAGGAAAAATGTTTCCCGTCCAGGGTGCGTGTTTGGGTGTGCAGTACCGCCCTTCCCCGGCACGCGTCCCCCGTCCCCACGGGGACACGCGCGGCCAGGCCGAGCCCGCAGCCCCCCGCCTGGCCCCTACTCCCCACCTGAAGCAGACCAGGAGATGAAATAATCTGCCTTCCAGGCTGTATTTCATGATTTGAAGTATGTATGCAAGTAGGACGTATGTAAATCATGTATGGTCATGATTTGAAGGTACAGCACACACACAGCTGCAACTGAGTCCTCATCACCCTGCTGCATTCTCTGCACACGTCTGGAAACGGCAGTGGTAAAACTCATAGGTTTACAGACAAGGATCTCGCAAAGAAGAAAATAAAGGCACTAATCAACACTTCAGTGATTATCATTAGCATTTCTTTCCCGGTATCAAGTCTCTCATCCTGTTCTCGCTCCATACTGAACACCCATCGAGGCAATTGCTGTCAGCAGTTACTGCAAGTCAGACCACGTCACCAGGCCCCTCTGTGCCCCCGCACCAAAGTGGAGAAGGGGGAGCAAAGACGCACGTAGGTAATCTGGAGCACGTAGCCACCAATGCTGACGCTGCCTCCGAGCTGCGGCTCTTCCCCTAGCCCCAGGGACATCAAGGAGCAGCGCAGATGCTGCCACAGTCCTTAGGGTGACAGGCTGGGCGTTGCAAGAACATTTCCAAATACAGTAATGGCACTTTGTGGTTCACAGAACACTTTCGGGGAGGCTAACCAAGCCTCTAAGCAGTAAATCAAAGGCAACAGCACAGATTCCACCTGCGCTACAGAAACAGAGATGGCAGATTCCTCCTTGGGCTTGGCACCGCTGGAGGCAAAACTCTGGCCCTCCCAGTTTTAGCGACTCAGCCAAGCTCCTTCATGACTACCCCAGGCACCAACCACCACATCCTGTCCTTAGTCCTTCTCTGGAAACTCCTACCGCCCACTTGCTTTTGTTTTCAGCAGTTTGAAAGAAAACAGACAGGGATTGTGCTAATATTGGTGGGTGAGATATGCAAAGCAGGGCAGCCTGAGCACTGCACCACCCCTACCAGAAAAGCAACATTCCAGTTGATTCTAACCTGCATTTAAGGTCCCTCGTCTCCTCTGATTTATGCGTATTTGAAATACGATTTGTTCCACGAATGCCTGAAATCCCTTATTAGAGGGTCTTCCATTACTTCACATGTATCTGAGGTTACACTGAAGGAAACAAGTCTGTGCATGCACAGACTGTAGCTAAGAACAGACCAGCAGCACTTAGAGATGGGTGTTCTGCACCTCCCCCCACCCCACAGGGGCAAAATTGCCATAAACCCCTTCAGGACACACTCTTAGTAGAAAGGTCCCTAGAAGAGAGAAGTTCTGCCCCACTCAATCATTAAGTTCTAAACAAAGGCTACCATGATTTCAGCCCCTCTTACATCCTACCTGCAAACGAGAAAAAAGGCCAAGACCCTCAGGGTAGCTAGGACATGTCCTAATCCCCATGGCCTGGTTCAGCCTCAAATTTGTCCAGTGTCTTGACTCCTATTTCAATCTGTGCGCTGCGCCAGCAAACAGATGCACTGTGACACTAGCAGCTGTGCAGAAGAAAAGATGGTCACTAAAGGCAGGGATAAGAACAGACACCAAGATGGTGAGAAGTGCCAAGAGGTTGTACAGTCTCCAAGTATCAAAATTATAAAGGAGCTATAAATAAAAGAGCCCGTGCTAGGGACACGGGGAATAGCAATTCCTGTCAGCCAATTTAGCTGGTCACCCCAGGTGGAGCAAAGACACCAGCAACGCCCTGATGCACGAGCATCGCACCCGATGGCACGAGCGTCCTGCTGCTTCCTGGAGCCTCAGGACACTTGGACTTCCGAGAGCTCGGTTGGCACTGGAGCTGCGGTGGCTGCTGGATGTCCCGCTGGCTGCTGCGCCCCAGCCTGCTGCTCCCAGCCCACGGGTACCCGTGGAGCAGCCGGGCACGGGTGCCGGTGGGCAGAGGGCTCAGCCGGCCGGCAGCACTGCCCGGGAGAGGCTCCCACGTGGGGCTGGATGCAGCGGCCTCCAAAGGCACCTCGGGTTTGGTAGGGGGGAGAAGCAAGGCCGTATCCCGGAGCACAATTGCCGGGAGACCCTTCCTGTGTTGGAGCGTGGCTGCATCCCGGAGCACGGCCCGGCTGAAATCCCTGGCACTGGATGCTGGGGTGCTGCATCTGGAAAGCAGGAGGAGCAGGAGGCGAAGAGCAGTAGTAGCTTTGGGTGGGGTAGGAGCCTGGCACAGGGTTAATCCTGGGAAGGAAGAAAACAAAAGGTTATATTGTGTTCAAAGCTGACAATGCCTAATTAGTGCGGGAAGTGTCCTGGGGGTAGATATCCTCCTGACCTCTGACTCAGAAAGGTCAGAGCAAACCACCAGAGACAGGCAAAACCCTTATTATAAGCCACACAGGGGTAAAAATAAGTTTACTGTTCCCCAAGGACAGATATTCCCACTCCCACTTCCAATCCATACCAATTCCACACTGAAGGAACGGGTGTAGTTCCTGGCCCTACCTCTCTTCATGCAAGGAACATGCAAGCCAAACTGCAGTGCACTTTAATATTTCATACCCATCCTTTCTGCCTTTCCCTGAATAACATATCCTTTAAGTCATTAATAGAGAGAAGCCACACCTGCCACGTGCTATTTATCAAGAATTGGGAGATATTCTGTGCAAGCAGGAGCCCAGGGTACGGAGCAAAGAAAGGGAAGGAGGGGAAAGCCACAAATAGAACAAATCATCAGAAGCAAGGCCTAGAAACGGCCTTTGTCAACAGGAGCAATGGCTCACCCTGCTTAAATACATCAAGAGACAACCTGCCTAAGAGTCAAAGCCTTTGGGACTTCAGGAATATTTTCATCCCAAGATGAGTGTAGAGATTCAAGACAATATTCACGAAGCCCCCACAGCCAAATTCCCATTAAGAGTAAGGGACTGGCTAAGGCTGGAGTTCTGTGGCTGATTTACGGATGTTTGGGGATTTTTGCTTGTTTGAGCACTGATGGACACAAAACATAATGTAAAAGCCTTAATCTTCTAGAAATGTTTCCTGTCTGGTGGCAACTTGGTGCCTGAAGATGCATAATCTCTCTCTCTCTCTTTTTGTTTTTTTTTTGTCAAGAGCTCTTAGGAATAAACAAGAATCAAAATAATAAAATTAAGCCCCAGAAACAAGTACAGGACTTGGGACTATAACACAGAGATGTGTAAATTCAGCTGCTGAACTGGAAACATCCTAGAAACACCTTCCCACGCCCCGTTTGATAGTCAAATATTTATGCAAATACATTCCAGGCAGAACAGTCTACGCTGTCTCTCCCAAAGAAGGCAAGTGTAGACTGAGGGCTGAGACGCTCTGCATAGAAGTGATTAGCAGCAGCGTTTCACTGAACTAGACACAGGCACAGCATGAGGTAGGAGAATCCCCCCTCCCAAAAGCTGTACTGGTACAGAAAAAATAAAAAAAGGGTAAAAACGCTCCCGGACTTGCCCAGCTCCTCTGCAAGCGCTTGGTACACAGGTTGGATGGCCCTAATGGATCTGTAAAGCTGCAGATAAGGCTACCAGGAAGGCTTTGTGACTTCATTTGCCTCTTGGGTGAGCACAAATGCAAAAATTTGGGAATGCTTCCTCTTTGAAGGGTACCTTATTGGGAGCTGATGGCTTAAACGCTACCGAGAATTTAACATTTGATAAAAATCCCCTCTTCTTCTGGGAAACTGAAATGGCATCTTAGAAAGGAGAAAAAAAAATATATATATACACGTTTGGGAGCTTTTTGAATGCTCATGGCTTGTGATGCATGGGAACTTAAAGCCATTCCTGAATGTCTGCCACAAGCCCCAAGGTTTCTTTCCAGTAAAGCAATCTTGCCTCATCACTGAAAATACACACTGGAAGGTCTACAATAAATTTTGCAAGTGACATTTTTAATATACTTTACTTGCTCCTGCACAGTTTGGATATGAATCACTCCACAGCATTCCTGGGAGGCAAAGGGGAGCCAAGGAAGATAATGATCATGCCCTATGGTGCAACACAACCAGGAACAAATCCCAGTGGCCCTAACATCAGGCAGAAAAACGCACCTCAGCTACCACCTTAGCTGAGCTGCACATACACACGTTGTCCCTGCAGCGAACGAGAGCCCTTCACCTCAGTTCAGCATTCAGTGAGGGACATTTAAATCAAATTGAATTATTTTCCCTCCTTCATGGACTCAGTTAATGTGTGATACATATTAGGTCACAGTAATTCTGTTGGTGCAACAGCCCCAGGTGGTGTGACAATCACAAGAGATTTTAAGGGCTGCTTGATGTCATTACTTGTATCACAAAATTTTCCTCTATCGTGAGGAAATTCTGCTAGAACTCCTGTACTTACTTGCTGCTTTCAGAGGCTCTTCTCTCCGCTAAGGTCCCTGGAATGTATCTTAGCCCTGGTATTCTTCTTAGCAGACTAAAAGGAAACATCTGATCCAACTTGGAGGCCATTGACTCTGGAATATCCAAGCAGAAACAGTATCCAAGACCGTCTGAAGCCAGTGGTACGTTAAGGAGAACTGCAGACAAAATGCACTCGTTTCTAATGCAGTGACACACACAATCCCTTTTGGGCCACAAACTAATGAATTCTGCCAATACTGCGCAGTGCCACCTTCACAGGTCGCTACCCTTCTCAGTTGCATTTTCATTGCTCATACAATACATAATTTGGCGTGGTGAGGACCAGCAAAGCCAGGGAGTTTAGTGCAGAGCAAGAGCCATGAATTCACGCAGAGAACACTATAAAGCACCTGGCCAACAAGAAATGTTGTGTGTTCCCCCATCTCAAGCAGCAGCTCTCCCACATTCTGGCTCAGGTCTTCCCATTTGAAAAGGATACAGGCTTCCCCAGCCAAGAGCCCACACAGGTTACTCAGGAGAGAAGAGTGGGGGATAAACCAGGCCATGCAGAGCATAAACCACGGCACCAGCACCACCGGGATCCTAAACCCCCAAACCAGAGCCCTCTTCATCCGTGAGCGGGTGGTGGACACCCCCAGTGTAGCAAATGCTACTGGCATGAATCCTTTGGCATCTTCCACCTCTCCCATCCTGGAGACAACAGTCTCGAGCAAGAGGTACAGAAGAGCTGTGAGGACAGCAAACGCAGCAGTGAAGAAGCAGTGCTTCACGGTGCCCACATTCTTCTCGAAGCTGCCAGCAAAATACCAGATGATGATGGCACCGCAGGTCAAGGATATCAGGTCTTCATAGACAAAGATGTAGGTAACTAACCTGTGAACTAAGCAGGGACCAACATATTAGAAAGTCAGGGACAGCAAGGAATGTTGTAACCTATTACAACAACCAGCCTGAACCAAGGGAGTTGTGGGCCTACAGGATAAACCCACTTTTTCAGTTCTATCCCAGCACAGGAGAGAGGGAACGCCAGGCCTTTAAAACCAGAATTAAAGAGCCAAATACTGTTAAAATGAACAATAACTTGAGCATTGCATATGTATGGACTGCCTCTTGTGCTTCCTGGGAAGATACCTGGCAAAGGGCAACCTTATCTATAAGTTTTAGCCTTATTAGAAGGCAAGAGATACCAGAAATGACAGCTATGGTACCTATGATCTTGCTCTCCCTGCAACTGCTACTGCAACCAAGATATAAGCATTTCTTATCCTGCTGTAAGAAGCAGGATCCACCTCTCAGAAAACACCTAGAGGGTGTCAGATGTCAGAGGGGCCCCTCAAACCCCCCAAGTCACTTCTCCTGAGCCCAACAATTCTCCGTGTCCCTCCCTCAACCTCGGTCCTAGAGCAGGAAAAGCACAGGATGGGGCATCACCCAAGAGAATCAGGTGGCTGCCCTGGAGATAAGTGAGAAGGTGGTTAAATTCACTCATCAGCTCACACAGCTGGACTGTTAAAAGACAGCACTGCACAGTGGCGACCACCGGACATGGCAATTAGGAGCAAGAAAAGACCACAGGAGCATCACAGGGATGGAAGAAAGCACATCCTAACATCGCTCCCCCATCTTGTACAGAACCAAAGGCCAAAGATGGAGGCAGAGATGGAAGCAACAGAGCTGGTGAGGGGCACAGGCAAGTGCAAGGAAATGGGGATCGAGGTGGGAGCAAGAGGCTTGGCCCTAGGAGGAAGAGGAGGGCAAGAGGGTCCCAGCACGAGCCGGAAGCCGGGGAGGCCCCAAGGGGCAGCGCAGGCCGGGGAGGAGGCCGGGGCAGAG